GTAAACGGGAGAAGAAAAGCCCCCCACGATACCCTGGCCACCAGGCGGTCCACGCGGTCCCGTCATCTGTAAAAACGTCAGATGACGTGTCCCAAGAGCCATGGCTGCCAGGAAGCAGGCAGGTGGCAGGGCGCCCCCAGGACTCTGCAGAGAAGGGGGCCGAGAAGGCCAGAGAGCCACCGGTGGTGCCCTGCCACCGCCGTGCCCCCGGGGACCGGCAGAGGCGCGCCCGCACCAGCCCCTCCCGCCAAGGCGGCTTCGAGCAAAGGGTGGGGAGGGAGCTGGACGTCGAACCCGAGCGAGACCTTCCTTCCGCTCGCCCACCACGGCCAGGGGCCGGGGTCTGGCCCAGAGCCTGGCGAGCGAGCCCACCGCGGATTCAGCCTCGTTTGGGTGCAGGTCTGGCCGTGCCAGCCTCTCCTTCGGAAGCTCCCCTGTAACGTGACCGAGCTCGGCAACGGGGCTCTGGGTCCCCTCCCGCAAGTCTGAACGTGACACACTCGGAATGAAAGTGGTGGCTTCGAGGGCTGGGAAGTAAGTTACGAGCAAAGAGTGACGTTCAGTTACTTTTCAAAGAGGAGCAGGGCGGAGGCTGGCGGCCTGGCCAGGGACCTGGTGTCTGCAGGGCGCTGGCCGTGTGGCCACAGCGGAAAAACCCAAAAGGGACGCCCGGCCACGCGCTGCCCACGTGCTCAGGGGCCTGTGGGAGACGGAAGCTGACTCGCCCTGACTCACGGCCAGAGGCGGTTGAACGCGACTTCGTCTGGCAAGCCACACGTCGGTGTCCCCACACCTGCCACGGAGGGGGACACATGCCACCCCTCGTCAGCACTGGTGTGGTGGGGACAAGCCCCCTCGGGACACAGCTCCCTGGACAGAACTAGGAAAGACACGCACCGCGAGAGGAACCCGGCTGCTTCCCAAGCAATGCCCACGTCCCGAAAATAAACTGACGACAGCTCCGAACGCCACGGAGACTCGCTTGCCGCACACGGTCGACAGAAACGAAAATGAGAAAACCACCTCGAAAGTTAAAAAAATGTACAAACAATGTAGCGAGGAAAATGGTTCGGACAGCGTTACCATTCAGAAAACTGCTAAATGGCGAGGAAAATGTCAAAGTCACAAAACGATTTTTGTGAAAAATTCATACAAAAATCAACAGCAAATTCATATTCTTTGCTATAAAAACTCATTAGTGCGTATGTGCGTGGAGCGGGAGGGGCTTCGTTATAAAACACTCAAAATGAAGTAGGAACGGCCGGCCCACTGCCGGCGGCGAAGGGGCGGCAAGCGGCAGCCGGCCTGGTCCGCAGCTCGGAGGACACGGGTGTCAAGCTAGTTCTTTCCGTCAGCACCTTGGTGTCTAATTCACAAGTCGTTCATTCGCCGGGGACCTTTACAATCTGTATTTATTTTATATATATATACTTTTTCTATAAATGCATTATAAATATTTTATCAGGATTTCATAAGAATCAAGTTTCTTAGCTTGGAATACATTGGAATATATATTATACATATATATTTATTTAGACCTAAAATTTAAGCAATACTTCATGCTGCTTGCTTTTCATGAAAAGCATTCCGACCGTAACACTGAACGTGTGCCCAGGACATGCTCCACGGCCACGAGATGCTCGACTGCTGCATGACGTGTGAGAAAAAGAACACTTTGGATTCATTGAAAATTGGTTGGACTTCAAAACCCCCAACAGCATCTGCCACTGTTCGGGAACTACCTCCGTTTTTTCTTAAACAGCAATAAAGCAAAACAAGGCCGCGTGGGCAGCCCCCGGAGCC